CGTACAGTTCTAAAACGGATGAAGATCCTTGGATCTAAGCAGATCATGAATGTTGTACTGTTCGACACAGAGGAAGAAGGTATTTTTAACATATGCTCAAATTTGATTAAGAAATCTGATGAGAAATTTTTAGAATCAGAACTAAATGCACGTTATTCGGATGTCTGCAATAATCTCCTACAAGCTATTGATAAGAATTTACCGGGAGCTGAAGAATCTGAAACGTCTAGCGCGAGTGGATCATCTGAAGACGAGATGGACGATGAAGAAACTGTACATGATAAGAAGACGATGTAAATTGTGCTTTCCTAGAATATCTGATTGATATTATCGATTTTTTCACATTTTCCTTCACAATGTCAGGAAACTTGAGCTTATTGTGCGTGCTGTATATTTTATGACCTTTTTATTATTGCATTTCACTACACCAACTGTGGATCTAGTCATCCATGTGTGCCATTTCAATACCATAATAAATTGTGAAAGTTTAAATTGATAAGAAATTTCAATGCTCGGATCGCCAAAAAGCTTGCTTTTATCCTTGGAAGTCAAGGCATGAAATCCTGCCGACTTTCGTTTGGCAGAGAATATGATGTGAGGCGGCCTTTTTGCACCATTACAGTATGGCATTCCCTTGTCAAGTGAAGTACTGGCAGATCAAAGTGCTGCCGAACGCTGGCATTTTTCCCGCAGCGTTTTTTCAAAAGTTCTGCGGAAGTTTCCGTTTTCATTCAGTCTGACGTGGAAATCCTGCGGAAATTTCCTCAACGTTTCCACTTTCGTAATAGTAGACAAAATAGGATCGCTGCAAATTTTTCTGGTCCTGCGGAAATTCCGGTGAACTGTCTAAGTATGCTACATTTCAGGAGCTGTTCCCTACCCACTTTTCCCATCAGATTTGGAAAGGGGCAGGTTTTTTTGCAATGACCGAAACCTCGATCACACTTTACGAAATCTTTGATTTTTGTTTTTATACATCTTTGCATCTGAACAAACATGCCCTAAGATCTAACACATTTTTTTCGTCAATTTGCGTCTCATATTGATTTCACAGCTTCTGCTGCCAGTAAAAGTTTGCTGTGAAGTCATCTAACAGGACTTTTTCTAATTTGAACTCTGTAGTTTGGAAAATTCACAACAAGTTTTGAAAATAAATTCATATGTAATATGTGCTGGTTCACGCTGTAA